TGCGGCCAATTTTGAAAGGCACGACGGCCATTGGCCGCGGTGCCGCGGCTTATGTCTAGCCCTGGTACTGTAATGTTTCAAACAGGTAATTATTCATGTCAGTACTCACAGTGCACAGCTCTGATAATCTGGTAAGTCATCTTCCTGATCTGATCCACAGGAAATGGTAGAAAGCTATTTTCCTTAAGGAAGTCATAGGTGCTCAGACCTAGCAGTTCGAACACAATGCAAATGTGCCCATGGTGGTCAAACCAGTCCAACATCCGCACACATGCACTGCAGGGAAGAGAATATTAACAAGTAAGAGGCGGCTCTCCCATTAGGACATGATCAGTGTTCCCAAGATTGACGGGAAGGCGAGGTACTTACTATTTCCTGTCATAGTCAAGGGAGTTCATCTGCTCCAACACCTCAACCTCAGACAGAGCTGCATCTCGATAACGATCAATATTTTTAATTATCTTCAGGGCCACTCGAGCACCACCCCTGCAACAACAGACACATTGTGGGAACTGGAAGGCAGGAGACCAGGGAGATGCGGCCAGGTCAAGCAGAACCCCCTAAAACTTACTTTGAACGGTCGATGCATTCTACCACTTTTCCAAAGGCCCCCTCTCCTAAAGTGCACACAATCTCATCTACAGGAATAAAGAATGGCAGTTAAAACCACAAACGGGGCTCATGCAACACAACATGAAGATCAAATACAAAGTCTAGTAGTAGAGTTTAAATTAGCTACATAAATAGACTTAGCATTATACTGGAAGAGGTACAGAATACAAACTAGTCTTACAAATCAAATGTATAATATGGTAAGCTAGCTTTTACTGGTATTAATTCAACAATTAAAATTATTTAACATAAAAGCATTTATAATATAGTCAATAAAAAGCCCCCCATCTAGCCTATTAAACTAGCAAAGACTTTTCTGGCAAAACAAAAGAAATTACAAAAAAAGGTATATGTTCTATACATCTTGCTTTTAGCACGTGTCCACTGTGATAGATCAGATGACCCTCCTCATCATCCTCAAAACTCCTGGATCTTTTCCTGCGATGACTCCTCTGGGATTGGTCACCAGCATCACCACCATAAACCCGCGAGAACCAGGCCAGACCAGTACGCGCCATTCATTCATTCAGCGGGGGGGATATTCGGGCATTCAGATACCGCGCCAGGCCACAGCAGCAATTTCAAATTCATCCCCGAGAAATGCACAGGGCCCCACGTAGTTTGTGTTACAGAAGAAAAACATGGCAACAAATTTTCAGACATGTGACTTTCTCAAAAAAATATAACAATGTCACAATATAATAATATGCATAAACATACTATTTGTCCCCATTTCTTTCCCTCTTACAAGTTAAGCTTCTAAGTGGACTTCATTGTATGAAATATCCCAAAGTTTAAGGGCGTTAAGTACAGTCCCAAAAATACTTGTACAGCATCTAATCTGAAATATACTACTTAATTCAATCTTTCTACTTATACAATGCATCAGTCTAACAGATTTTAACTGATAGATCTATATAGAATGCTAACATTAAAATGGACATATTTAGCAAAACACACATGCACAGCTACTGTTAAATGTCAGTTAGCATTTGAGTTTCTAAAAATAATATAGATAAACGGGGTAGGTGCCTTAGCATGACTAACATGCGAACACAGCGGACACCGGGTGAGACAGACCATGACATACCGAGTATGAGCGGCGGTGGGAGGGGCTACGCCGGCGCCCCCGGTGGCGCCTATGGCTGCTGCGCCGGCTGCGCACACTGACGCCTGAGGACTTGCTGTAGTGGTGCCAGTCCCTGTCCCTCTCTCGCCGTTTGCAGGGCAAATCCCCAATGATTTCCCGGTGCCTGCGCTCCTTGACCTCCAAGTTGTCGCTTAGAGGCTTCGTCTCCAGGTAATGCCTGAGAAATGGCAGCAAGTCACGTGATCCGCCACACCGATGGTTCAACGGGAAACGCGTACACCTCCCTTATTTATAAACACACACAGCTCGGCCTTTAAAATGGCTTGGGAAACACCCTGTATTTGAGCAATTCAAAGGAGAGGTAAATATTTATCTTCAAATATATATATATATATATATATATATATATATATATATATATATATATATATATATATATATATATATATGTGTGTGTGTGTGTGTGTGTAAAAACAGAAAAGCTATCCGGACATACTCTGTGTTTAGTCTGTTGAATTTATGTAACCTTTTGCTGATGTACTCTATTGTAATATGTACTTCTGACAGTTTTCTGTTGTTTCTTCTTCTCTCTCTCTCTACCTTCATTTTATCTCCTTGAGTCCTTGGTCTGTAGAGAGTAATCTTGTTTGCTCTGCAATTTGTAACTGTTGAAAATTTTAAAAATAAAATAATCTAAAAAAAGACTCGGCCTTTAGTAATCGACACACTGCCTCGCCTGGTCGCCTAAGGCCCGTGCTGCTTGCACGTAAACAGATGAATGACGACCCGGGCGAAGGTTGCCGTACCCGTCGCAGGCTCTAAAGTGGTGATGGTACCTCCGGGATTTATTCTCCCTCTCGCTACTGTGCGAGTCCCGCCGGCGGCGCTTGCGGCTGCCCAGCCTCTCCTCCGAGCTTCGCTCCGGCATCCAGCGGCCCGGAGAAGCCATCCGCCTCGACTGGCGCATCTGGCAAAGGGAGCCACAAAAATAAAGAAAATACCCCGAATTATGCGCCCAAACCCTGCGGTTTATTTACCACAGCGCAAAACAGCCAAGTATAACAAGATCAAGGGGACACTGATTCAATAACCCGAATTTAGTGAAGCCAACCGACGTGTTTAAAATAAATGCGTCAAGATGAGACATGAGAGGCGGCATTTGAAATCTGACGGCACAAGTCCCGCGTAACGAGCTAAACAATGCTAGCATAAAATCCCATTTTAAACAAAGACGATCTGCATTTAGGTTTGAGCGCTAAATAAAGCACAGCTCCGTGTTGGTCCATCAACTGATAATCTTTCAGGTACATAACTATCGAAATATTTAACCAGCTCGCACAGCCTTTTGTTCTCATATTGTCGGATGATACTGTGCATTTAAGCAACGGAGAAACAAGTATTTTCTTTTATTAAATACAAAATTATATTAACATTTAGGTCTCACAATTTAATAGAGTCGGATGATCATACCTCTAGTAAGGGATGAAGCATACCAAAGAGCAAACAATCCTTATTTTCCTGACGATACAAAATAACAGCACTCACTCGCCTTTAGACAGTCTCAAAATGGCGACCGTCTTCTCGAGCTTTCGGTGGAAAAACACGCCGAAGGCCGGAAGTCGTCTGTGGATTGGTGATCGTCGACAAGATGACGTTGCCGAAAGGGAAGTGTAGTTTAACAAAAGCACAATTCATGATCTGCAGTATAGTACGCCATAATAACCAAAATAAACCCTCATCTCTCTAAAAAGAACATGCCAGCACAGTTTCGGTTTGCAAAATTGCATATGAACGAACCACAAGACTTCTGGAACTCTGGACGGACGAGACCAAAGTGGAGATGTTTGGTATTAATGCACAGTACCATGCTTGGTGAAAACAAAACACAGCATATCAGCACAAACACCTCATACCAACCGTCAAGCACGGTGGTGGAGGGGTGATGATTTGGGCTTGTTTTCCAGCCACAGGACCTGGGCACCTGGCAGTCATTGGGTAAACCATGAACTCTTCTGTATACCAATATCGTAGAGTCAAATGTGAAGCCATCTGTCCGACAGCTAAAGCTTGGCCAAAATTGGGTCATGCAACAGGACAATCTTTCCAGCAGATCTACAACAGAATGACTGAAAAAGAAATATATAAAGGTGTTGCAATGGCCCAGTCAAAGTCCAGACCTCAACCCGACTGAAAGGCTGTGGCGGGACCTTATGGGAGCCGTGTATAAACGAATGGCCACAAACCTCAATGAACTGAAGCAACGTTGTAAAGAAGAGTGGGCCAGAATTCTTCCAGAACGATGTGAGACTGATGAAGTCACATAGAAAATGATCACTTCAAGTTATTGCTGCGAAAGGTGGTTCGAGAAGCTACTGAATCATGGGGTGTGCTTAGTTTGTCACACATGGCTTCTCCATTTTGGCTTAATTTCTGTTAAATAAACAATGACGCGGTGGAATATGTTGTGTGTTATTTTATACCTGAAAGAGTTTGTACTTTCTTTTTCACAAAACTGTAAGTTACTTGTTTGCAACAAAGACACCCATTACGTGTACTGGTGTGACACAGAGCCTACAAACTGGCTTGGGGATGTCTGGGTGCAGTGGACTGTGGTTCTTTATGTGGTTTTTACGATGTAGTGCGGGCCCAAAAAAGCCCTGCTTTGAAATATTTTACAAGAATAGCAACATCTAATCTTTGTTAGTCAATACCAATCAGGGGTAGACTGAATAATCCATAACTATCATCGATGCCATAGAAGGAGATGCAGCCTTTGTATGCTATTACATTTTTAAAAGCATCATCCAATTATGAATTATGGTGAAGTCTGGTAGGGATGGAGAGAATGTGATATAGGTTTGTAATATAAGCCCAGAAATAATACAATTCCACCCATTATGGCCAGGAAACATGGACACGATACAGAGGACAGCCTCAAACAGGTCACAGACACCATTGTTTTTATTTATGTTTATTTTTTAAATACATTGTATGGTACCCAAATAAAGACATATAAACCCACCATCACCCCTGCCCGCTAGCAGAAGGGAGTCTCCCATGAAATCTCAGCCAAGTACGACATGTGTGAAGATCTACTGTGCTGTCTTCGTAGCCTCTGAGTACAATCTCAACGTACCATTTTTGATGGCTCATAATGCGTGTGTAACATCTGATAACAGGGCTCTTGCTGTATTAACAAGACAACTATATTGTTATAGTGGAAGCAGAGACCGGGATCTGACAAGTGGACACAAGTGGAAACTAAAATGTTTTTGGGGGTGGCTTCCTGTCAGGTCCTGCAGCAATGTGTCGATAAGACAGAATGCCCTCTGGAGACATATCTGTCCTAAGAGATGACAGCCAATGAGAAGGGAGAAGATTCTGTGCTAGCCAACCAGACTATAGGAAGATTATTCCACGAAATGACATCAGAGAGTAAAAGTCAAATGTACCAAAAATAACCATATTCATTGAAAAGCAAAAGTGATATCGACCAAACAGAATGGAGCGGAACTTTGCACAGTAAGGTGTCCCACAAGCACACCACTCACACAACCATTTTAAGCAGAATAAGACTTCAGAAATTAAATTATCATAGAAAGTACCCATGTCACATGACATCCCTCTCCCAGATTCCCACCCCCATTGCCATGAGACAGCAAATCAAAACTCTGCAACCACTTTATACAACATCATTGTCATTAACAACAAGAGATTAAGCGAGAAGGACACGACTGTTATTTTGTTTCCAGCAAAAAACAACAGATTCTGTGTGTAAAAAATCCCTCTGTTTTAAGTAAGGACCTAAAAGAGTATCGTTTTCCGTTTGTTCCCATTATAAACCTCACGCCAAAAAGTGTCCCAAACGTACCACGTTATTCACATTTACATTACAAAGAAAAAAGAATAAGTACACTGCTGTGGTATGACACAGTTTTGTGTTTGAGAAAATAATGCCTTCAGTGTTACGACATGAAAAGCATAATGCCCTTTTTTTTTTTTAAAAAAAATGCTGTTTAAACATGCCATGAGGAATTGACCTTTTAGCAGAATAATAATAATAATAATAAAAAAACAACAACACAAATCTGTCATTACAGAATTTTCAAACGAACGTTTAACAACTGAATATCAGTCAGTGATGAATGTCCTGCAAACCAGAAGTGGGAAGTTCCCTCCTCGTCGCCCAATGGTCAGCCAGGCCCGTCGACCTGACTGGGGGTTCGATATCGTCGAATCGACTGCAAAATGAAAGCTGGCAGAGGTTGACGAAGGGGGTGTTTCCACGGCGTGTCGATTGTAGGTGAATGCTCCATAGCTGTTCGGTCATCAGCATCCATAGTTTGCTGGAACCACTGGCAGAGAGTTGCCGCCATGGGGCACGAGTCAAAGGAGTCGCTTAGCTTATCTGCCTGCCCCAATGAAGGCAGTGTTTGCCGGAGAGAAAAATAGCAACGGTGAACTTTCCAGCTAAACCGTGAACGGCCTCTACTTCCGAAGGATGCCACACGTCTCAGATCGCAGTAAACAAAATGGGACCAAACAGTCCCTTGGGCCTTCTGGGACAGACATGACCCTACGCTCATGACAATGTTACAACACTGAAGTCACACAAGGCTGTTGGGCAGAGAAAAATATCAATAATTTATATAAAACAGGAGGGCTGTACATCCTTCTGCTTGTACTTCATATCGGAACCTCGTTAAAGAAAAACTACACTGGAGGAAAAGACGACGTACAGATCGGTCACTCGCACAGATATCAATACGCACTCATTCCTCTACACGTTCACCTCATACACCCTGACTCTGAATGTATAAATATATACACAAGTTGGCTCCTGATGCTCAGGGCAAAATAAAGAAAAAATATATTCTAATACTTTGCAAGGGCAATTTGCTTAAGTCCTCTCTGTGTTCGCAATTCTGTACAATGTTTATCTTTCTTGATTTATTTTTTCCTGATGAGTCCTGTCATCATTCTTGATTTCTTCGGTTGTAATAAAAACACCTAAGTTCCAGCTTGGTTCCTTCAGAGTCTCTTTTTAGTGCAATGAACGTGTCCCCTTCTTGTGCTGACTTGTCCGCCCCTCCTCATGTCTTCCCCAGGATGGTGGATCTGCAATGACATGAAGGCAGTTCTTCAATCAAGCTTCCAACCACGACAGCTCACACAATACTCCACCTTGTGTTAATCATCAAAGTTTTAAGTTAAAGCATAGCACACCTATGTATCACTGAGAAAAGTTTATTATAAACTCCTTCTCTGCCTTTCCTTCTATGTTGCTAGTGACCCAAAGGGTCTGTATTTTCCTTAGTAACTAGCTACTAGTCTTCTGTGTCAGTACTGTAGACGACGAGAAGTTTGAGAGTTGGATACTAATGATACCGTCTGGCATTCAGAGACTCTTAAAAGTGAGAAAATGCATATAAAATGATGAAACTCTTGCGATTCTTCATCATCTCACCTGAGAGATTTCCACCTGTCTTTCTCTACTTGGTTTTCTGGGCTCTCGCTCTCGTAGGATGCCAGGTACAGCCCTGCAGGGAGAGGACAGGAGATGCAGAGCTGATGGATGCCCACAGGGAATAACATGCGGTCTGTGTTCTTATTTCTCACGGTCAGGCCCTACGCCAGCTCCTACTGGTTCGTGTTGATCTGGCATTTCCCGGAGTGAACACTCACCATCCTCATTGAAGATGGGCGCGGTGTGAAGGTAGTGCAGAATGTGCCGGTCCTGCTCAAATGGGCACTCCACCTGCTTCCAGGTCATGAATTCCCCCACCTGCCTCGCCAGCTCCACGAATTTCTGAGGACAAAGGCGGCACGTCAGAAGTGCTCGATTGATATTGACGCGCAAACGGGTGCAGCCCCATGAACCGAAGCAGCAGGGAACAGCTCCCTCACCTCGAAGTTGACATGCCCGTTGGGAAGGCGGTTGGCACACCCTTCATTGAGGAAGTAGATGTCTTTGATGAGCAGGCTGAAGAATGGGATGACTATCTGGAAGGCAGAAGGGAGGAAAGGAGGATGAAGCATTGCTATGCCAGGCATATCTTGAAAATTACTCATGGTGTCTTCCTGGCTCAGGATGGTCACACGTGATTGGCCGTGGCAGGTGGCATGTCCCCGCCTACCTTCTCCCTGTTGCTGTGAGCTGTCTGTGACCGGTGCGCCGCACCCTTCAAAGCCGTTCTGTAGTTGTAGAAGTTTCCGGTCGGGTCCATTTGGTGCTGCGTATAAGAGAAGTCTGGTCACCCATAGTCATCTATACTTGGGTCAACATGTCCTAAGGGTGTAGACCCCTTCCGAAAGGCGGGCGGGTGTCGTTCTGTCGGCAGAAGTTCTGAAGGTATGTCTCACTCTTTAACTGTTTTCCATACAGTTAATGCTGATGGCCGACCCTTCCTCACACGCTCTTAATGAGCGGCGTAATTAACGTGCGGCAGTATTCGTGGTGATGCCCTACCTCCAGGATGAAGAACTTGGCAGTCTTCACCTTTCCCCAGGTCTTCTTCAGCCGAGATACGGGGCTCATGTTCATGCCGGCTGCAGAGAGGACAGAGCGAGATTCCGGTTCAGGGGAACAGCTTCCAGAGGAGTTCCTGCTCAGCCATAGATTACGCAACTCGAGGTTAGACAGGAGGCACTGGCTCATTTGGGTATAGGCACCGTATTAGGGGTATTACCGTTATCTGGGTCTTTCAGAGTCAGGCTTTAGATAGAGCTGGTTTGGGTTCATAGTGCCTCACGGCTCTATGAATGTGGGCTTGATTCCAGTCCCTAGCTCTGTGTTTGTGGAGTGTGCATGTTCTCCCTGTATTGATGCAGGTTTTCTATGGGTCTCCAGGTTAGATAAACTAGTTTCTCTAAATAGTCCATAGTGTCTGTGTAAGTGTGTGCACTATAATGACTTGGCTTCCTATCCAGGGTGTCTCCTGCCCCATGCCACGTATTTCCTGGGAAACATGCCAGCTCAAACCCATAAGTGGCTATGGAAAGTGGAAGGGCGATCTGGGATTGATGGAGTTTCTGACTGTCTCCAGGGGCCCAACATCCAAAGTGACTGGAGGATTGGTAATTAAACAAGCAACAAATCAAATCAAATAACAGACAAGCAGACGCACATCCAGACCGGCTGGCCTTCACCTGTGAGCACAAACGTCAGGAATTGTGTGTACGGGCTGGACAGGGAGATGGTGAGGGACTCACAGATGATGGCCATGAGGGAGTTGAAGTTGCCAATGTTGAAACACTCTCGGGCCACGTCGATGAAGAACTCGATCACCAGCGCTCGCTGCTTCTTCTTCGCCGGCTGAGGGTGAGAAACGAGAGGATGAGATCCAGCTGGACATGAACTGTGTGCAAAGCTGCACTAAACTTATTCTAAAATTCACATACAAAAGTCCTCCACACAGATATGACTCAGGTGAGGACGGCTGGAACCCTGAGATCAATGGAAGTAGGAGCTGTGGCATTACTCGATCCATCTTTCGATGGACCTGGAGACAAATGTAACGCGAGCTCTCTTACTCAGCGGAGTAACAGAGATCATACACCCCGGTTTCTGTAATAAATGACCAGACGGGGCGACTACAAATGTTGGCTTGGCTGAACTATGTGGCTGTTTCACAAACAGATACGTTTACATATTACGTTTGAACAGTGCGGTCACGGGAAACTTGCGTGTGTTGAATTTGGGGAGAGAAAAGGGTAAGCTTCCACTAGAGGGCGCCAAAGGACAATTCAACATATTACCACACCACCGAAAAAAGAGGTCAGCATCAATTAGAATGGACACCAAAGGTAGCCCATTAAAGACAATGACCAGGCTTGTTGTTAATTCTCACTTAATTCGCCTTGATAAGGGCATAACACCTCAAGTCTGGAAATTTAATTATGTTTCAGTCCCAGGATTCACACAGAATGCAGATTTTTCAGCACGCATCGTGATGCCGCATTGTCATAATGCCAACAGAGTGTCAACATCGTGAGAGGACTGACAAATGCCCCTGGGTGCGTCAGCCAAGCGATTACAGGTGACAGACATCTGGCTGCCTCGGGCTGTTTTAGTAAAGCCTCTTGTGACTTAATGGCATCTTTAACTTAGAAGCCAAATTCATGCAAATAATATATTTTTTAAGGCATTTCCTGTTCAGTTGGCGCCCACCCACCATGCAGATCTCCGTGGCGACCAGGTAGCAGAGTCTGTTGAACCATTTCACATAGGCTTCCAGGTTACTGGTCTTCTTCTTTTGCTCGCTGAAGCAGGGCTGCGAACGGCACACACACAGACACGCGTCAGGTACGCGTCTTTGATGGCAGGAATGTATCGCTGTATCGGATGGCGATGGGATGATTCATTTAGGTGACGTCTTTAAATCACCTGCTGTGTATGGTTGTGTAAATGTCTCTGTGTGTGACTGTGCACAGGTCTGTATCTGTGTGTGACTACACACGTCTGTACCTGTGTGTGACT